TTTTAGGCTTAGGAAACACATACTTTACCCCCCCCCCTCATAATGTGAAGAATGAGATTTTACGTTACGTACGAGGTCACACTCCGATTGGTGGTAATTCCTCAATATCGGGCGCCATTTTGGATCGGACATCTTGAATTTGTAAAATCCAACGTCGGATTCAATTTCAGAAACGACTTCAAAAACTCCTTAAACGAGATCCAATTTTTGTTATTCTTAAATATCGGCCGCTATCTTGAATCGGCCATCTTGAATTTGCAAAATCCAACGTCAGATTCGGTTTTAGCGAGTTCAAAAATCTCAGGATCGGTATCCGAAAAATTTATTCGCCATCGATAAAATGTATGCTTCAAGGTTTTTATTTGTCTCTATTCTATCAGTGTCAAACAGATAATAGATTGTTTTTGAGTTTTCATCGATTTAACAAGTTTTGATGTCATTCTAGTCCGTTTTGAATTATTATCATATTATTATCATATTAACGATCAATGGTACATTACTTATTATTTTTATTTAAAGGTAAAGAAACCGAATTTTTTATACCAAATTTTTGCAAATTTTTTGTTTTCAATTCCAAATGGCTTCTCTTACAGAGCATGGGAGAGTTTCGCTTCTGATGATGTGAGGATGGGGGGATAGACAAAGGTCATACAGTGAAGTGAGATTGCTGTTCAATGAAAACTTTCGTAATGAAGGCGAAGGTATTTCAATATCGATCATCAGACCACTATCAGACGATTTGTAGAAACTGGGAGTAATAAAAACCGCCAAAAATCTGGGAGGCCAAGGTCCCAAACAACAGAAGAGCGACAATTTGAAGTAGCCCAATCATTTGTTGAAAATCCCAGATTGTCAATTAGAAAAGCATCTCAACAGCTTTAAATGAGTGTATTGTCAATTTCCAAAAATCTAAAGACCATTAAGTTCCACCCCTATAAAATTCATCTCCACCATGAGTTGAATGAGGATGATTCTGACCGCAGGATGCAATTTTCAGAAGTTATGATGCAAAGAATTGATCAGCAATCGAACTTTTTGCATAATATCGTTTTTTCAGACGAAGCGTCTTTTAAGATTACTGGTAAGGTAAACCGTCATAATTTTAGATATTGGGACAACGGAAATCCTCATTGGATGCTTGAAGCACATACGCAGCGACCTCAAAAATGGAATGTTTGGACAGGTCTTTATGATAATCAAGTGGTTGGGCCTTTTTTATAAATGGGAATTTGAACTCAGAAACCTATCTGCAGCTTCTTACAGACCAAATTGTTCCATCAATACAGGAGATTGTTGGTGATAATTTTGATGATGTTTGGTTCCAGCAAGATGGGGCACCGCCACATTATGGACGCATTGTTCGGAACTATTTAAACGATACTTTCCCTAATCGATGGATAGGTAGAGGAGGAACAATCGAATGGCCACCGAGATCGCACCACTTGATTTCTTTCTTTGGAGCTACATAAAAAATAAAGTTTATTTCACTAAACCTCGTAACCTGGATGAGCTTCAACAACGGATTATAGACGAATGTGCTGCAATACCTCCAGAAATGATAAGGAGTGCGACTGACAATTTGTACGTCCGCTTAGCACACTGTCAAACGGTCAATGGGGAACATTTTGAATATCTCCTGTAATCTCAGGCCGAGTTACAAGATGCTTTGCCTTCGGTGGCCGAGACTAACTGAACCTTGCCTTCAGTGGTCGGGTTTGAGATACCTTGCCTTAAGTGCCCGGGTTTGAGACACCTTCAGTGGTCGGGTTCCGAGACGCTTTACTTTACAGTAGACTTCACGATCAGTGAAGTAACGTAAAATGCATAATTTTGAAAACAAGGTCAAGGTTGAAAACGTCATATCTGAACGTAAAATTTCTCAATCTTGACACTTTTACGTCAAAAGTATGGATGTTCAGTCCTAAAAACGTCCGGTTTGACCTTAATAATAATCTTAACTCATGACCTCGAGAATAAGGGCAAGGTCACAGCTGAATGTCCCTCGTTGACCTCTACATTCTTATTCTTATGCGTAACATTGCTCCCTAGCAGGTGCATTTTCGAAGATATTCGCGTTTTCAGCCTAAAATAAGCTTAGACCTTTATGTGACCTTCAGAGATCAAATTTTGCAGTGTTCAAGGTCATATCCGAACGTAAAACTTTCCGTTCTTTTCATTTCTGGGGTCAAAAGTATGGAGTCCCATTTAAAAAAATTGACCTGACCTTGAAATGACCTTCAAGGTCATTGTCAAAGTCAAATCCAAGGTCACTATCAGATAGTCAGGAAAAAATCATAAAAACCTAGTACTTCGCATTTTTTCTAGGACTCATTTTTCGAGTTATTCTGCTCTTCCTGGACTTTTATAACACCCTGTATATACATGCAAACTGTTTCTGCTTCATATGAAACTTCTTTTTGACGTCGTAATAAGGTTGATATTACATCAAAATCGACGTGATTTCAACCTAATATCAACTTCATTACGACATTAAAAAGAGGTGTTGCTTGTGATCAAATTTACGCGATTTCGACTAGGCTTTTCGACGTAATTTCAACATCAAAGTTTTGACGTCAAAATTACGTATTTTCGACCTTGCGTTTCTCACTGGGTAATGATATTCTGAGTGAATCTACGATCGTCAAATTTCTCAAAATGAACCTCAAACGGTCCTTTAGCACTATTATCATATACATTACGCTGAAGTGTAATGAGGTTGTCAGGAACAGAAGAAACAGAGCGAGAGGAACCTTCGTCAAATGAAGTGTGACAGGATGGAGTGAGGTTAGGCATTGAGGTAGAGGTATTATCTGAGATCTCCGCTATTAGATTCGGGTCCGCACCCTCATCAGAGGAGACCATCCTGAGATTTGCGTTGCACAAGTTAGAGTCGGCTTGAGAGGAGGAATAATCATTCATCGTGCAAACGGATGTCCAGGAGAGAGCGGGAAAGCCTTTGTTCAGATAGCGTGAGAAAGCCAAATAGAATAGAAAGAGAATTGGTTGTCAGAAAGCAGAATCTTGTTCCAAAAACGAAGTCCAGGAGAAAGCCAAGGTCAAAAATATCAAGAGCACACACACAACTAAAGATATCACGTAATAAAGACAAATAAAGCTGAGGCGCAAGAAAACTCAATGTTGCAGCAATGGCGTCTCAATTGGTCTCAATCGAGAGTCGTAAGGAAGTTGAGTGAGCAAGAACCGTGCATACTTTGCCGCTACCGTCAGGACGAATGTAGTGTGCACACATTTTCTTAGGGGGCGCGTCGGAATTCGTCAGAAAAAGCGTCCCATCGTAATCGGCCCGATGACTGCTCTCAGGTTTCTCTCTGGTCCGAAGTCTAAAGGCTCGTCTACATTAGCTGTAAGAGTAAGGCTGTAAGGTTGCAAGACACGAAATGAAATATTTTCATTCGCTGACAGCTTACGTTACAGCCTTACAGCCTTATGGCTCCTGCCCACAGGATGCGGCAACGCTTGCCGCGCGGCGGAAGTTCGCACGGGAAGATGAAATAATTTTTCAGGGGGCCATGCAGCACGCGGTGTTGCGTTGTTTGTGTGCGCGCGCAACTGTTTGATGCGTTCTTTTATAGTATAATATAACCTAAAAGATTCGATCTAAAAAGTATGTTAATAAATGTAGAAAGTAGTAGGAAAGTAGCAGGAAAGTAGCAGGAAAATTACAGAATTATCATACATATATATAAAATGCATGCAAATATGCGTACAAGACGTCGAGTATTGTTGCTGGCCTTATTACACATTATTAGAAGAAAAAGAAATGTACGAAAAAGAAGATTTTGGGTACACCCAATACTGCAATTAAAACAATAGCAAGGAGATTGGCATAATTTAGTTCGTGAAATGCAATTACAAAACGACGAAACCTATTTTAATTACATGAGGATGCTACAATGTTCGACAATATATTATCAAGAGTTGGACCTTTAATTACCAAACAGAAAACAAATTGGAGAATTCCTGTTCCTGTAAGACACAATGTACCATATGTCATAGTAGCTGACAAAGCATTTCAGTTAAATACGTTTACTATGCGTCCATATCCATTCAAAAATTTGGATGAAAATCAACGAAAATTTAATTATAGATTAAGCAGAGCTCAAAATGTCGTGGAAAATGCATTTGGAATATTAGTAAGTCGATGGCGTATTTTCCAGAAACCTATAAATACTAGTCTTGAAACAACTGATACGATAGTGAAAGCAACTGTTTGTTTGCATAATCTTTTGATGAATACTTCATTTTATTGTGGAACACATTATGCCGATAGAGTATCTATTAATGGAGAAATAATCGAAGGAGATTGGAAAAACACAAATTCAACTTACTTTAATAATAGTGCAAATAATGGGTTTAACAATGGTGCAAGTAATAACTATACACGACTTGCTAATGAAATTAGACATACTTTTACTGATTATTTTGTTAATGAAGGTCAGGTTCTTTGGCAAGACCAAATTATTTATAACAAATAATATATGAATGTATATTTTTTGTTTTATGTAATAAAATTTGTATGTAAAACAATATTTTTGTGCGAAATTATTTATTTCTTTATAAATTCAAAATTGTACAGTACAATTAAACAACATTTTTAATCTTTGGTAATTATGCACTCATTAAAAGAATTGTTGTCTACTTCGTCTATTTCGTTGATATGTTTACGTATAAATATATAACATTAACGACTAATATTATACTTATGTAAATACAAAAAACTGTTTAAAAATAATAAACTTTGAAGAGATATATTTCTCTTGGGCGAAAGAATAGTAGAAAATACTCAAAACAATGAAACTTTAATAATTTTAAAGTAACTTTAATATATTCCTATATTATCATTGTATTTAAAATAAATATATTGTTATTATTTCGTCATCCTTTACAGAAAAATATTAATGGCTCATAAATTGGCGAATAATAAATTATAATTAATCAGTAATTTCATTATTTATAGGAATAATAAAATTATTGATCGGTAATAATTTATCATTAGCCAATTTATTAGATCTAGTACTAAAATATAAAAATATATATTTGTAGCTGACGAAGCATTTCAGTTAAATACATTTACTATGCGTCCATATCCATCCAAAAATTTGGATGAAAATCAACGAAAACTTAATTATAGATTAAGCAAGGCTCGAAATGACGTGGAAAATGCATTTGGAATATTAGCTAGTCGATATTATCATTGTATTTAAAATTCGATTAGCAAGTCGTATTTTCCAGAAACCTATAAATACTAGTCTTGAAACAACTGATACGATAGTGAAAGTAACGGTTTGTTTGCATAATCTTTTGATGAATACTTCATTTTACTGTGGAACACATTATGTCGATAGAGTATCTATTAATGGAGAAATAATCGAAGGAGATTGGAGAAACACAAATTCAACTTACTTTGATAATAGTGCAAATAATGGGTTTAACAATGGTGCAAGTAATAACTATACACGACTTGCTAATTAAATTAGACATACTTTTACTGATTATTTTGTTAATGAAGGTCAGGTTTCTTGGCAAGACCAAAGATTGCAGATATATCTATATCACAGTACATATGTACGTAAAACAAAATAAAATAAAAAAAAACTTAAAATATTAACATATTGAAAAGGAAATAATAAACAAAGATGTTAAGGAACATGTTATACATCTTCGAAAAGTATCTTAGATATTTTCATAATTATGCGTTTCGAATCATCCGGCATCATGTTTCGGAGGCATGCTTCGAGATATTTCGTAAAACTTTCAATTTTATCTGGTTTTATGTGAGTAGGTTCATTTCTTGGAACAGGTTCATTTCTTGTTTGTTGCAATTCTTTTAAAATGGCTTCTTCTATACGAATGTCGGCATATTCTGTTTTTGATTTTTCTGTAAATTTAATAAAATAAGTTAATATTTCTTTTTTTTAGATATATAATAATAAATATGGAAATAAAGTGAAAAGGATCAAAATATTTGTGTCAGCATGCGAAATAGACAAATTAAAGTTGAATACTTCATTTACATGCAAACTTTGCAGGACTCTATCTGTTCTTTTCAATAACTCTAAGATTATATTATAAATGTAGCATTTAAAAATGATAGAAATGATGAATTTTATAACTTATTAGAAAAGTAGATCAGTAAATTTCTACTTTCTAAGTACTTTATAAAAGTATTTTTAGTTAAGTATTTTCTGTAATGCACATTGCAAAATTATCGTTTTATTGTTTGTATACATAAAATTTGTTATATATTCTTATACATGTGGCAAAGGACGGAAATTATAGTCAAAACGTTTGGAAATCAATAAAGTATTCAACTTTAATTTATCTATTTCACGTATAGACATCTATATGTAGTTCTTCTTGACCTCATTTACGTATTTAGTTCATCCTTAATAAAATACGAAATACAAATAATTACTTTTTATATTCTTACTTATACGTTTTGCAGCTGTAGGCGAATGGAATTCAGCTTCTTCATCTAGAGTATTTGAGTTAGATGTATCTATAAAGATAAAAATTAGAACACATATACAAGAAAAATAAAATTTGATAATAAATGTGTATATACTGCTACGTTTTTGTACTGGCATTTCTTCATAAACAGTAAAATTATAATTTTCTGCACTTGATGTACATATGCAAAAAATAAAAGATGTTCAGTATAATAAAATATATACAATAAAAAAATATGTATTAGGTGCGCAACTAAGTTCTCGCTGTTTTTTTGATGAAAATGCAACTTTATTGTGAAAAAATGGTTACAAATGAATCATTCAAAATATTGCCCATCGCTAGCGACAACTTTTTCCCATCTTTCTGGCAGAGCTCGAATACCGTCACGGTAGAAGTGTTCATCTTTTGAGGCTATCCACGAATCAAGCCATTTTGAGATGTCTTCATATGAGCGGAACTGCTGATTAGCCAGACTATATGCCATCGAACGGAACAAGTAATAATCGGACGGCGCAATATCTGGGGAATATGGCGGGTAGGGTAGGACTTCCCATTTGAGCGTTTCTAAGTAGGTTTTAACGGATTTGGCAACGTGAGGCCGAGCGTTGTCATGCTGTAGAATCACTTTTTCGTGCCTCTGCTCGTATTGTGGCCGCTTTTCGCGCAGTGCTCGGCTCAATCGCATCAATTGAGTTCGATACCGTTCCCCAGTGATGGTTTCGTTCGGTTTCAACAGCTCATAATAAATAACACCGCCCTGGTCCCACCAAATACACAGCAAAACCTTCGCAGCGTGAATATTCGGCCGAGCCAACGACGTAGAAGCATGACCGGGCAGTCCCCATGATTTTGTTCTCTTTAGGTTGCTGTAATGAATCCATTTTTCATCACCCGTAACGATGCGATGAAGAAAACCCTTCCTTTTTTGCCGCTGAAGCAGTTGTTCACAGGCGAAAAAACGACGCTCAACGTCTCTTGGCTTCAAATCATAAGGAACCCAAGTTCCTTGTTTTTGAATCATTCCCAACGCATGCAATCGCTTGGAAATGGCTTGGCGGGTAACTCCTAATGCTGAAGCAAGCTCTTTTTGCGTTTGGCACGGATCCTCATCGAGCAATGCCTCCAATTCAGCGTCTTCGAAGGTTTTTGGCCTTCCTTCATGCGAACGGTCGTCAACATCGAAATCACCGTCTTTGAAGCGACGGAACTAATCACGGCACGTTGTTTCACTTAGAGCAGCATCTCCGTAAACTTTTTGGAGTTCTCGATGCGCTTCAGCCGCCGTTTTCTTCGAATGAAAGAAAAAAAGCAACACTTCCCGCAAATGACGATTATTTGGCACAAAATAAGACATTTTCACACAACCAAAAGTATATGACGCAAAAACAAAATCACTAATGTGTCAAAGCGGTTTGTTTACCATATGTCTAAGCTTGGTTCATGACGTTTTGGTTATGTCACAATCGACCAGCACTTACTACTGGAGCCATCTCTTGAAAAACAGCGGGAACTTAGTTGCGCACCTAATATTTTCCAGCAACGTTATATGTTACAGGGAACCAGTTTATTGACTACATATTATCTTAAAGATATTTTATGCAATATATAACCAACAAACTGACTTTATGTAAAATATTTTATATAAATATAAAACACACAATATGAAATGTTTAGAAAAAGAACTTAAGAAGTATATTTTGATGGTAATTGTGTTTTTAGTAAGTTACTTTGTTTTGGCAGCGACTGTTGCAAAATATCATCTTTCTTCTTATTATTATTAATAGAACAATGGAACTCTTTCTTCTGTTGCACATTTGTTTGCGGATTCACATTTTCAATATTGCTTTTTGTCCTGAAATATATATATGTATGTATAAGAACATATGTATAAGAACGTGTGTATATTTGAATGATATATATGTGTGTATTTAAGTATGAAGTTATTTGCCATACTTCCTATAAGTTATTGTTGATGCTAAAAAAAGTAGATTTTCATAAAATGGCCAACTGCTTTTCTTTTTTACTGCTGCACTGCCACTGGGAACATAACTGGATTGTAAAGCATGTTTTTTAACAAAACGATCCCTTAAATTTTTCCATTTGCTTTGACTTGTTCCAGGACATGTACCTACATATCACAGGTTTTTATATTACTTTCTTATTTTTTACAATTTGAAATAATATTATATGTGTAGTTGTAATGATATATATATTGATACTTACTTAAATAGATATCTATTTCAGACCATAATGCTTTTACTTCCAATGGATCTCTACATTTATATGGTAATAATGAGTTCCATAAAGCTTCTCTTTGGAATACTTCCGCGATTAATAATTCTAAATACTCATTTTTATTCAAGAAATTAATATCTGATATATTATCACTTGTATCATCTGATATAAAGCTATTTTGCTCTCCTGCAGATATATTGTTATCTACATCACAGTACCACTGTAAATAAAACTTCAATAATATATTTAAGTATTTTCCTGTGGTTATCCCAAACCTCCTTGTTATTTATTTATTTTTTATTTATCTTTTTTTAATAAAACAAATAACGAGCTTTGAGATAGCCGTAGCAGTTTCCTAACCTAATATACCTAAAGTAATTATTTAATTTAGATCTCTCTGATTTGACTAAAATTCATATATATCTTTTGATGTATATTAATCGTACCAGTCAACTTTAACGATTCATTTCGCTTTGCGAACAACAATTTTAGCCTTCAAATTCAATTCCTACGCATCAAATTATTGGGTGCTTTCCAGCAACGTACACAAGTGACACTGTGTAACACAGTGTCCGACTCAGTGCTTTCCAACTACGACACAAGTCGACACAATTGGACACAGCTAAAATGCTGTGTTCGACTGTGTTCACTCCATGAATACCAACATTTTTAAATCTGATACCATTTATTTTTCTACGGAGTGGTAATTCTGATAGGAGGTAAACATTTTTAAGGTTATATTGAGATGTAAAGGACATGAGGATATACCTACAACTAAGAAGAAAAGTGAGGAGATATATTAGAACCATGGAAGGTATTTAGTACTTTTTTATTATTTGATTACTCAGGTAGCAAAATAATGTCTAAAGATGTCTAAAGACATTTTAATGAAGTATTATTGACGTCTTTAGACACCAATAGATTTTTAATTGCATTATAAAATATAACATTTATATTGCAGGATGTAAAAATATATGTGTATTAACATTTTTAGACATTAAATAAATATAAAAGCCTTAGCATGAGGATGGTTAGCAAATTATTTATTGTATTATATGATATATTTATTTTAATAACAAATAACCTAGGCTTGCTGCCTGGGTATAATATAATAAAATAAATAAAACCAATATAATAATCAGTGTACATTGTTTATTCCTGGTCAAATATTTCCCTCAATAATTGCATCCTTCGATCTACTTGATGTCCAAAATTAATATTTCATTTACATTATCCTAAATATTATCATTCAGTTCCTCCATTTCGACATCATCATAATCGACATTATCATCGTCATAATTCAAACATAAATTATGTAAGATACATGCAGCTACAATTGTATTTGTAATAAACGGCATTTCACGGTATTCCGAAAAAAATTTTATTCGTCGAAAACGTCCTTTCAGATAACCAAATGCTTTTTCTACAGCCATACGCGTTGAAGAAAGTATGAAATTAAATTCGGTCTGAAGAGGAGTAAGATGACCGTTATCACGAAAAGGAGGAACAAGCCATTGTAAAGACGGATATGCAGAGTCTTCTATTATAAATTTTTCATCTGGAAAAATTACTTCTCTATGTTCATTAACTGAATTGTATAATGCAGATTTTCTCAAGACTCGTGCATCATGGAGAGAACCTGGCTGACCACAGTATATGTTAGTGAATTTCATATCCACATCTACAACAGCTTGTAGGCTTACAGAAAAGTATTTTTTCCGGTTACAATAATCTCTTGCATTCTCCACATTAGGTTTCTCTATTTTAATTTGAGTGCAGTCAATAGCCCCCATTATATTTGGAATGCCTCTTTTAGCATAAAACTGATGATAAACATATGCGACGTGTTGTCCTTCGGGCCATTTAATAACGTCGTCTAATTTTATCAATATCCAAGCTGTCACTCGGCGAATTACTCGAAAGACAGATGAAATTGAAACGTCAAATCTATCTGATATTGTTCGTAGAGGTTCTGTATTTGCCAAGTGCCACAAAAATATAAGAAAGCTGAGTTTCGCTTCAATTGGTTTCACTTCAAACGAATGAGAAGGAATAAATCCACTTTCATGCAATTCATCTAGAATATATAAAGAATTATACGTTTTAAATATTATAAAATCATGTTTAAAAATATAAATTATTTGGTATTTAAAATGAATATTACCTATTAATCGAATTGCTAAATTACGCTTGATTCGCAAGTGCTCTTTAAATTCTAAATCTGTCCAACTATCCACAACATGAAGATAATCTTCAACTCGATGTCTTTTACACCCGCTGATTAAATATTTCATTAAAGGAAACAACAATAAATAACCATCGTTTTCTTCACTACTGAAAGATGTATCATCAATTGAAAGACTACTATTGTTCCAGTCTATTTCACTGTTGCTTGAGTCTTCTGTGCTTGTACTGGTGTTTATCATACTCTCCAGTACAAGATTAACAACTATCTTTTCCTTCCCATTCATCTATATTAAAATTAATTAATTAATAAAACTATTAATTTTTTTAATAATATAAAATTAAATAAAGTGAAAAGATAAAATAAAACATGCTATATTTAATTAATATTAAAAATAGTATTATAAAAAATATATTTATTTAATTGATTACTTTTTCATAACAATTTAATGTACATAATTTAATAAGATTTTTTTAACCATTCTCTTCTATATATTTGATAAATAAGCTAATTTATAAGAAAATTTTGTTAAAAAACACTAACCTTTATATAACTTATAAGAAAGTATCTTGTAACGATTTAGATTATTATTTTAAATTATTGACATATGTCTGTTTGCATTGCAAACTAGTAACAAGATATATAAAGTAACTGCCCTGCACTCTGACGGTGAAAGAAAAAAGCTAAGCAGCGTTCCAGCTACAGTCGTTCCAGACAAAGTCGACACTGTGTAACACTGTGTCACACAGTGTATGACTGTGTTCCGTTGCTGGAAAACACCCATTATTTTATATGTTTCAGCGTCTTTGTTTTTCTTTCTCTTTTCCTTCTTGTTTCTTCTCTTTGCGTCTATCGCCTTCATAATATATGTTTCAGCCAAATCCGAGATGAGGGATCTAAACTGAATAACTACCTTCATAATAATGACAAAATAACAATAATTATATAAAACATAATAGCTTATTTGTACTTACACTTTCCTTATTACTCATTTTAATTTCTCATACTCATTTTATAAATACTCATTTTAATTTATATTTCACTTTCCGCCAAATGATAAATAATATTCGTACGAAATCTTTTTAATGTTCATGTCTTTGAACACTGCTGAAAAGAACAAATTTCACTACAAATTTTACTGTTTTGTAATATAATTCCCTACATGCAGGACACGACACTGTTTGCCGCGCGGCAAAAGTTGGGTCGAGTTCAACATTTTCCGTGCAGTGGAAGTTATGTATCTATTACTTCTGAGCACGCGAGACGTTGATTGGCTACTACTGTGTTCCCTAGCCAGCTTCCGCCGCACGGCAAGCGTTGCCGCGTCCTGTGGGCAGGAGCCATTTCTCTTACAGCTATTGTAGACGAGCCTTTAGGGCAAGAGCACAGGCTTTTGCATAACACATAATACATAACACATAAGAGAACAAACCAATTAGTTTTCTTCATTTCCTTCCTCAAGATAAAAATGAAGAACTCTGATTGGTTGATTCTCTTATGTGTTATGTATTATGCGTTATGCAGAAGTTGCCCATAGACTGCGTCTCCTTGTGGACGCGCTGAAGGCAACATTAAAGGACAGAGATATTGCGTGAGTGAGGCTCTCTCTCTCGCTCTGTGTTAGGAGAGAAGAGAAAAGGACATAAGGGGAAAGATAACGTTGTACTGCTCGTACAACTCTCCTACTCTCCTTCACCTCTTCGGTTTCCCCCACCAAGACACACTCACTCAGCTATCGATCCTCTCACTTTAATGTTTTCCTCAAGTCCTCTCATTGGACGCGCAGTCTATCTCTATAAGGCCCAGCTGCACCAACATTATTTTGGTTTTAAGTGAGACTTAAATATATCTCTGTCTTTATTTATTTAGTAAGAAAGATAAAGATAGGCTACATTCAACAGACTCAACAGTTGGATAACATTACTAGATTTTCCACTGAATCTCGCTCCTGATTGGTAAATACTTCTGGGTCTATGAAGAATCTAAAAAAATGTTCCAATCACAGACAATAATCACTAAGCGCTCTTTGATCACTTTGTTCTACTGAACGCGGCCATAGACTTATGTTTAAGTCTATGGCCGCGTTTAGTCTCACTCATAGACATAGTAAGAATAGACTGCGCGTGTACTCTTGTGAAGACTGAAGATCAGGTAGAAAGAGACAGAAAGCAAGTGCCGAGTATCTTTCTTTCTCTGCTCACGCAGTGATGCATAGTAATATATAACGTGCTATATACATGATGTTAGGTTAAAAAAAGTTGTGTAATGTTAAATAAAACCGTTTAAAATTTAGAGATAAATGTGTTTCAACTATTATAAACTACGTGTAAACATTTATATTGAAACGATTAAATATTTTATACATGAATATGTGTGGAAAAGTTGTAATAAAAATATCAATATTACAAAGTAATATAATCTTTATTAAAAAAATATATATATATTTTTATATAAGTTGTTGTTTATTTATTGATTTTTGAACAAAGTTATTTTATTATTTTTCATCCGAACTCGTTGTATCGAATCTGCGAATGATGTACTTTCATGTTTTAAAATTAAATTAAAAAATGTTTTCAAAATTAATTTAATTATTTGGTTTCGGTGATCAAAAAGTGGACTTTGATCGAATATATGATTATTATAGTCAACTGTTTATATGTATTATTTGAAAGTAATTGCTTGCATTCTGAACAATTAATTCTTTTCATAATAGTTTTAGCAACATATCCTGATATGTAAGCAATGATTTCTTCAGCATATTCATTAACTTTTTTATCATGTAATACATAATTATGCTCAATAAAGATAAGATCTGAAGGTTCGTCTTCTAAAGATCTTTCTTCTAAAATAGTATCTTTGTTTTGTTCTACATGTTCGTTAATTGTATATCATTCGTAGATTCATGTGAAAGTGTTAGCAATACAGTATCATCTTGTGGAATGCAATTAGCATTCAATGAGACTGACACATTCGCTAAATGCAATATCTTTCTATATGACACCTTAAATTGCTTTACGCTAGGATTATTATTCCAACCATGCATTCTTCTAATCAATGAAAAAAAAGTTTCGATATGGTCCTGTGATAATTTATAAGTAAGAAGAAAGTTTATTGCATTTACATTAAATAATTCTTCTGCTAATGCAATAACGTTCTGCAAATTAATTATACATCCAATGAAACCTGTTTTGAGGATGCTTTGTAATACGGGAACATCATTTATTGTTAAGGAAGCAATGTAATGCATAAAAGTTTTAGCTTTATCTTTAATAGTACATAATGTATTTCTTGTTATTGCATATTTATTTTCAGTTTTATTGTATATGTTACGTGAATTTAAGATATCAAATATGTCATTGAAAGTTTTACAAAATGTTGCAGTAGTTGAAGCTCCTATAAATCTTGGTTCTTTTAATTCATATTCTAAAAACGTCAATGCATCAGCCACAGAATTACTTAATGTTTGTGCTGCTAGATTAACTTTTATCTTTTCATTAAAAAACTGTATATGTCTTTTTCGCATTTTATTGGCAACATGTAATTTTTCCACAGTTTGCACATTTACTAATTACATTCTTTCAGAAAGTTCCAACTTATTACATTTTTGTCTTTATCTTTAATAACCCCTTTACTAATTGCATTCCTCACAAGCTTCAACATGTGACATGCATCATAAAAAATATAAATATTTTTAGATTTGTCAATAGGATGCTTAAAATACGGAACAATATGTTCAAAATTGACGTGTTTTAACTGTGCGCCTAGTATCTCGCACATTGCAATATTAGAAGTTGCTCCATCAAATGTAACACTAACAACGTAAATTGCTTTTTCATGGAGAACACTTAAAATGTTATTTAACAAATTTGCTTTTTCCTTACCATTTAATGCCTCGATAACGTAAAATGCAATTGGGATTTTAAAATGATCATTTATGCACACTAACATAAAAAGAAGGATATGAGTAGCAAGTGGCAGACTGTCAGACTTACTATCTTTAATATCTGTTTCAATAAAACCGTGTAATTCTTTGCCGTCCCAATCAACTTTTTTCTTAATATTCATTTCATCAAAAGTTATATTGAAAACTAAGTTTTTTCCTTTCTCTCTAGCATTTTGCACCTTATCGAGTATAGTTTTAAACGATTGTTCAGATATACCGGAATTACTACGAATTGTCTGCGTCCACATGCGCAGTGTACTGGGGTGAGGTAAACTTTTTAAAAACATTTTTCTTACATACAAATATGCTGCAGGCGAATGAAAATGTAACGTGCATGCAAAACTTTCTAAACTTTCGGGGAACGACTTCTTTCGCTTCTTATTTAACATTGTAAGTAGCAACTGTTGCATAACAGGTGACAATATATCCTAAATAAAGAAAAAGGAAGTACAAAATATAGATATAAAAACAGAAGAAATCAAGGAGACAAATGGTTGTACGCATAGACATATACATAATAACTTATTTAGAACGAAGATATAACATCATTAGTGCATTTGTAGATTTGTAGATTGAGAGGGTATATGTATACGCACATTTGTTATACCATATTTTTAACATGATGTAGAAATCAAATATTGTTCTATCATTTGCTTCATTATCATGGACCTTTCTATAAGATTCTATAAGAAAATTCAATATTATGATGAAGTCATATTGTGATTGGAGAGTTATCATGAACTTTCTTATAAAAGAATAAACATTGTGGACAATGTGAATTTCAAATCTTTCTAGGAATGGAAAATAGCTAAACTCAACTTACTTTGATTGCATGTATACCATTATTTGTTATAAAGTTTTTACTTTTCTGGTCCTGAAGCAAATCTTTATAAGTTAAAACTTTCTTCTGCATACGGTGTTTCTTTTGCCACATATTTTTTGTTTCATTTCGAATATATGACACATATCTTACAAACTGCTCCCATTTTGCATCAGACACAAAATCTGTTTTACGGAAGCATTTTGTAGCATGTTTAGAAGTGTTTACAAATATTTTTTTAATTTTTGAGTTTCTAAAATTCTCTTGCGATAATTTCCTGAAAATAAAATTTTGATAATGTATAATTTGTTGGAATAATACTCGATAGGAAAAATTATTTAAATCTTTAGATATCTCACCTTTTTCTACTGTGATTATTATTATGGTTGCTATGGATGTTTATGTTATTAACATCTTCTGCTACATGTGTATGTATATCTGCATCTGTGTCCGTAATGGAATTCTTACTCGTATTTTCACTATAAAACAAAAAATATTCACATACATTAATGTTTTATCTTATATATTACGATAACTTTATTTTCCCTTTAGGTGTATATCTTAGTGTATCTTTAGTGTTTCTTACCTATTTTTTTCATTGTCTATGTCATTATTTTCTGCTGTATTTGTATTTATATCTGTGCTTAAATTGGTATCTGTATCCTCCTCCACATGTTTACTACAAAACAAAATATTTCAATGTAATGGATTTATTGCATCTTCCTGTAAGATTATTACATGTATGTTCTTATTTATAATTTAACATTCTCACCAATTTTCTTCCGCAAAAATTAATGGAACTGCAGTCTTTCTCAATATTTTATTTTGTTTATATTCATTCATTTCATGATAGTCATTTTTTGTAAAGTGGTCACTGCATATTTTTGCTCCTTTGTAAGATACATCACGACCAATAACGTGAAACCATTTTTTTCGCATTTCTTCATTTTTTGGGATTCTGTAAATTTTTTACATATATATTTTCACTTATATATATGTGTATATATATTATTAATTACGATATGTTTACATTCATATTGAATACAAATATATTTTTTAAATTACTTATGAAATGATCGTGGATAAAGAGGGTTTTCTTCCACACCACAAATACAGCACGTAGTAACCATTTTTTAAATTATTTTATTCCTTGTTTTCTCCGTGAATATGTATATGCTATGGTGCGTCGACGGATTCGATTAACTGTAGTCAACAAAAACTTTTAGCAACACACCAGCACTGACACAACACTGACAGAATAATCAGTTTTTCTTAAATGAAAATGCCAAACGAATGTCTGAGGCATTAGAAGGAAAGTAGAGAAATAAAGCTGCAGAGAAACGCGGACAGAGCAGTTAGAGAAGATCTTTTAATATGATTCTAACCTTCACGCTACCCTTAATCCTGCTATGACCGACATGCGCATGTGATCGCAGGGAAATTAAGCGCGTAACAATACGTTGATATTAACTTTATAAAGCAGAGCATCTCCTGAATCGTGCAGCAAATAAACTGGGAACCGACTACACACCTCTTTTCAACCGCATACAGCTGTTTCACTACTCTTTTTCCATATATGTAATACTACTATATTGCTATTCACGCATCTCTCCCATAAGC